GCACGCACACACGAGCCCATGACATGATCATCATGTAATTATCTTAGAAACACGGTTTCTCAGTACTCTGTGATGTAAGTGAAAGTTCAGTAATCTCATGCGCGGTTGTGCCCCAGCGAGTTACAGTTACGCTGCGGAGACTCGCGATAGAAACTAGCACCGGGGGTAATGTTATGATTAGACACACCTAAACCGCGAGGAAAGAGTCTGAAAGCCAATGTCAACTACCGTAAATCATTTACCGTTCGGTCAGTGTCTCTATCACTACAAAGAGTTACCATCTCTCGCGTTCCTCCAGCGCCTAGACTATGACAAGCTGAAGCAGAATACTCCTATGGCACTGATAGACGGAGCTATAGGGAAGAATGACACGCTTGATTTCATCTCCCTGTTGCGTATATCCCGTCTCAGAATTCCAACCCCTCGTTGGCTGCTCCGCATCCAGCATCCTTCTTCCATTCGTACATCCCTCCGCGCTTAGTAAACGCCTCCTGGTCCCAGTGAACCTCACTTAGTGCTCTGTGCACTCCGACATCCAGAATCGATCGTGACTGTTTCTCAGTCCCGGCACCCTTGTCAAGGAAGCAAAGGTACTCGTCGAGGATAAGGTAACTTGATGCCATGAGCGAATTCGGTTCGGGTACAAACGAGCCGAGGTGTCGATGCTTATTGCAGAACGTCTCGAACTGCTCGCTAGAAATGAGGAGGTCCTTGGCATTTCGCTTCCGCTTCTTCAAGTCGATGTCTTCATCCTTGGAGTCGTTCTCTCCCTCGACGTAAAGGACTTGGAACACTTTCCACCGAAACGGGTTGAGTTTCTCCACGATGTCCGCCATGTCCTCTTGCCAGTTGTATGTGCATACGACCGTGTTCAATTTGAACTTGATGCCGAGGTCTTGGCACCAGTCGCGAATCTTGAACAGCTGCTTAACGTTATTGCCAGTACCACGGCCAATAGCGATGTTCGTTTCCTCGTCGAAGCTGTCGCAGCTGACACCTAGAACGTCCACCCATCGGCCGTGTTCCTTCATCCACTTCCTAGTCACCTTTGTCCCATTGGTGATGATGCTCACGCTTTCGAGGTGGAGCTCCTCCTTGCAGAAACGGCAGAGCATCGCTAACTTGCTCGGGTAGAGAAACGGCTCGCCTCCAGCGAAGTTGATCTTGCGCACTGTAATACGAGAAGTCAGTGAGATCCATTTAGAGCACGAAACAAGGGAGGAAGAGTGCCAAGAGCTACTCACTACCAGCGGCCTTGAGCAGTCTGAGTCCTCGCTTCATTTCATCCTCGGTAGCAACATGGGAGCTTTTCTCGGTGTGAAAACAGAAGCCACACGTCTTGTTGCATTTCCGGGAGAAGTGATAGTTTACCGAGACCGGCGTAGTGACCTTGCCTCCGTGATACTTCCAATGGACTAGGCAAAGTCCCACGCCGACCAGGATAGTGCAAGCCACCGCTAGTGGCGAAGCCATGATGAGATGAAGAGCATTTAGAAGCATTGTCAGTAGGCTCTGTAGCAGAGTTGCCCTGTTCAGATTCGTCCTGTATGTTGAGAGAGCGGAGGGAGTGCTATTGAGAAAATAAAAAGGAGGTGAGCCTTAAGAAGACGAAAGGGAGGAGGAGCAGAAGAAACAGGAGGAGAAGAGGAGAAGCAGAAATAGTAGGAGGAAGAGACAGCGACAGCTTAGCTGCTGAAAGACGGCGATACTTTCGACGCCCTGCTTGTGCATTTTATTATTAGTACTCAATAAACACCCATTATTGATGGCTGCTTTACATAGAACATGGGCCAGTAGGTACCTGAAAGCAGCCAATAAAAATTTAGGCAGCCAATATGTGACCTCGATCTTGTTCCTCTATCAAACAAAGACTCTGCTGCTGATTTTCTAGTTTCCATTCCGTCACTCTTGCGTCTGGGGCACTCACGGCACCGGCACAGAGGCATTTGCCCTTAAGGTAACTCATTGAAGGTATGTGTTATCTATGATTGTCTAGTTATCTTGAATCTTCGGTGCTGGACTATACAGGCATGAGTGATCTGAAACGGTATCGGTGTAGATGATGTACTACTTGTGTGGAGAGAGGCCATCGTTTTCTATGTGACTGAGTGATAATATCATCCACAAGGAGCTATACGATTCCTTACAGTCATACGTTTGTTCTTCTACTTAAATAATCCGGATTCGCCATAGTATCCTGAAAGGTCTCTTATCCTCGTCTTCATTCAATCCGACGCATGTTTGTAGGGTCAATCGGCCCGGCGGGAACACTTGTTAAGCTTGCCATAATATGATTGTTTTTGCGGAGAACTGCGTTTTCGCGGATTATCCGCCAGCTGAGACGTCTTTGCCTGTTGAAAGAAAGTGTCGTTTGTGGTTTGACAGAGAATATCAAACAGGTTCAACCAAGACTTTCTATCCCTCTACACCCGCAGGTGGAATACAGAGTACTCCTAAAGCGTCCCAAACTTTCAGCTTCACTTCAAAACCACTTCTAGGGTGTTATTATCGTTGGAGATAATCATGGAATCGTCTAAAGATATTATTATCTTCGTCCTCGGACCGCCTGGCAGTGGCAAAGGAACCAATTGCGAACGTGTTACGAAAATGCTGAAGCCTTCCCGCTGTTTCTATCGCCACCTTTCAGTAGGCGACTATCTACGCAAGCTCGGCAACCCCGATACACCCTGTGATGCGGCGGACTTGGATCGCGGCATGATCCGTGACTTCTTGGGAGACAACAAACTGCTGCCTGCCGATATAATCATCCCACTTCTTAAGCACAAGATGGACTCTACGCCGACTGAGAAGGGTTACACCACCATTTGGTTGATCGACGGGTTTCCACGCAACATGGAGACTGCGCTTGCATTTGAGGAGAAGGTATATATGAAGATGACTGATAAAGTGATGCATCTTGTTGTCAGAATACTGGCGGATGTTAATGCACTTTCTACGCTAGATCGGCAAACCGGCCAAAGTCATTGCCCTCGACTGCCGCCGCGAAAAAGCACAAGATCGATATCTCAACCGACGTAGAGAGACTATGGATGACAAGGAACGCTTTCATAAGCGATACTATGAATATCTAGGGAATATGGCAGCTATTCACAAGTACTATGATAATATCCTAGAATCCGTATGTATTTCTCTCTCGTCGTGCCCTTATGGTTCTACCGAATTTATTGCTGATGTAAATCTTGCAGGTATGCGTGGATGGCGATGAGGAAGAATCCTTGTCTCAATTCATGGCCGCAATGCCCCTAGCGTCTGACAACTGAGAGACCGTGAACGATGAATGATCGACGGGAATCTAGTGAGCATGCGTATGGTGTTTGGGGACCTGGAATAGGCAAGAGTCGTTGGTTAGTGGCTGGAAGACCGTGAAACCATTGGGGGGGTTGAATACTAGCGGTCAGAAGCCGTCGTAGTCGATAATATTAAGCGTATCTCGCCCCGTCATCTTTAAGAAGGTGGCTTATCAGAAGTTTTTTTTTCAAAAGTGATTCGCAAATTGCATTTACCCAGTTTTCATTTTGCCCTGTAGCAATTGTATTACGCGTACAGCGCCTAACCATTTAGATATTCCGATTCGGGGTCTCCGCCGCACCATCGCTGAGTCTCCGCCCTCTTTGTGTTGCTGGTGTTAAGTCGGAATACGCAGTCCCAGTCCAGTTTAGAAGTGAGCTTGATCGATGAACTCAATCCAAATGAAGGCAACGTGACGACCTTGTAGCCTTCGCGCTCACGAAGGTCTACCGGTCCATGGAGAACCGGAGTGTTGATGCTAGGTCGCTTAGTGATGAAACTGGTAAGATAGAGGACTTGAAGCTAATAGTGACTGAGTTCTACGCTGAGCCGATCAGTCACCTTATGGTTGCGTCCGTTTGCGTGGCAAAACAGGTGATGACTTGTACGGTTTGCGATTGGGCCTCTTGAAACACAGCTTATTGAACACAGATATAGACCTAAAAGATCCAGTAGTGCAATGAACAAATATGACTACACTACTCCTAGGAGCAACATTGAGCATTAGACAACCGTCGTCTATCACCAGTGATGTGACATCTCATACGTGTTAGTGACACGGGTTGCCAACGGTATAGTCTCTGTTACAAACACATCTGTCCCCTATATGGTCAATCATGACATGATGAGTTAGTCTATGTAGAATATGAGAATTCGGCTTTCAAAGGCTAGGCTTATTGCAACAGCGAAGTGAGGCAGAGCCGCTACCGAAAGAGTGGATAGAAATCTACACCGACCTTTTCAATATGTTTCACTCTAGTCATCGTGATAAACGATTGCTTCAACAAGGCGCAAGACCCCGCGCGCATGAGAAACAGCGATTCTAGGCTTCCATGCGATAAGGTAAGTTTAAAACTCACATCCAAGTAAAGGCCAATTGACTAGCTTGAGTGGTCAAGTCACGGCTCCCACTTCACCGGCATCTTAAGTACTCTGTGATTACGATGAGAGAAGAGCGGATTGACAAGAAACAGCCCTAGAAGCGGAGAATTCATCAGAAGTGGAGGAATTGGGAATGCTTTCGTTACTGCGACATAGGCCGGCATACTTGACGAATATAAAATACTCGCCACATTGGGCAAACAAATTTCCTGGAACAGAAGGGTATTAGAACAATGATATAAGAAACAAGGATGGCCATCAGTTAGCTTTGCTGAAAAAAACGCAGAAGGATTGAATTAAGAGGGAAATTTACCTGAGCCCTTAAAATAACAGAGTGTTTTTTTTCTGTAGAACCACCATATCATATGTATCCTTATACATCTACATCGCCTGTGACTTATCTCATGATAAAATGTCCTTGCATTTCGAAGCTAGCCCGGCTTCCGAAGCCCGGTAGGTCTCCTTTTCTCATGACACGAGGGCGCTAATAACAGCCATGAGAGTAACTCTGTACTCTGTAAACTCTCACTATACTGAGATGAATCAAGACTACATAGTTATATGATATACTGAGCCCAACAAACAGCATCGGCCTCGTGGCCCAATGGCAAGGCGTCTGACTACGACTCGACTATCAACTGAATCGCGATCAGGAGATTACAGGTTCGATCCCTGTCGGGGTCATTCTTTTAGCATTTTTTCTCTATTTTTTAAGCATCTCATTGTCGTGTTTTTGCACTTCTTATTGCAAATAGGGGCGAAAAGGGATGTTGATGTTGGAGATATCGACTGAAATGGCATGCACGACAGGGGTACGTGGGTACTCCACCTGTGCCTTCCGTGACAAGAACAGTGAGATGTTACCTCTAAGTAAGTACCTTGGTTTGTTACCAAGCTGGAAGACATAGTGAGTATTTTGCTCTTGACCAGTGTCCGGACAGTAAGCGCCCGCGTAATCCATTGTTCAACGTGCCTCAAGGTTGTTGTGCAGGCGGCGGTAGCAGATGTATGTACTTGGTTGGGTATGGATACCTAGTACAAAGTACACTGTTGATATGACTGCTAGTAAAACTACTAGGTATCATACTTATCACGTAACTTGAGGCTAAAAAGTATATGACTGTTCAGAGGCAGCTTTATATTGCAGCGGGGTTTGTAGTAGCAGGCCAAGAAGCCTCGTCGAGTTCCTATATATTTCACTCTCACCACCTTGCATAGATAGTCCTTGTACTATACATACTTACTTCAGCAGAAGTCAACTGTCTTAGCCTAAGCAATAATGGTCGCTAGTCCATTTCCACTCTATCAAACCAAATAAACTCGTCATCCTCAAGTTCCAATCCCATCTTGGTAGTCCTGTCATTTTGGAACATGAACTTCGCCGGGATAAGATTGTCACTACCCTCCAGAGCACTGCGCCAATGGGCAATGTATTCCGTTTGCTCGCCCACGTGGTCGAAAACCAGCGACGAGCCGAAGGACCGGTCACCGGCGTCGACGAAGAGTTTGCCGTCTTTGACGGCCACAGTCATTCCGTGGTATCCTGGGTTCCAATACTCGCCCGTGTAAGCCCTGAGCGGCATCTTCTGCGGCTCTGTGGCTTCGCTCAGGATGCGCCGCAGCTCTTCCTCCTTGGGATCGCACTCGTACTTCGACCGCTCATCCTGCAACACTTTATCCCAGTCCGGTCGCTCGGCTACTGGCACGCCCAGAGCCTCGTCGATCAACTCCCGGGATAGAATTGTAGCCACTTCATCCGCATTGCCCGCGTTTCCAAAGATGGCGCCGCCGAGTTTGAGGTTTGGAACGAAGAAATGCCGGCTACCGAATCCGGATATAGACCCGTCATGGCCGATCACCATATAGCCTCGGTAGTAGAATATCTCCAACCCAGTGGCGTACACCGTCGGCGAAGTCAGTGGCTGCGTGTCCTCTGGGTTGTCGGATGCCAAAGTTCGTATCTTAATGAGTCCCTTGTAGACCTCTTCATCAATAGGATGTTCCTTATTCATCATGGCCTTAACCCATTTGATATAGTCGTTCACACTCGTCATAATGGACCCGGCTCCTTGGCCTTCAGGACAGTCTAACGGCTCAAACCCGATGTAAGCCTTGCTTCTCTTATTCCACGAATACCCCTTGGCAAACCGGTCACCGAGACCGAAAGACCGAGCGCGCGTTGGTTGAAGATGGGTTGAGGACATCCCGAGAGGTCCAAAGAAGTGCTCTTGAAGAAAATCCGCGAAGACAAGCCCGCTTTTCTTTTCGACGAGGTACGTCGCCACCGTGTACATTATGTTGTTATACTGATACTTCGTCCGGAGCGGTGCATGGACTGACAGGTTTCGCAGGTTCCTCGTCACAGATCGCGCGTCATCTGGCTTAGCCGCTTTGGGACCCAGGTAGGAGTCATCGTGACTGTAGGTGTCAGTTTTATATAATCTCGTCCGTCATTTATTGACAGACCCTTACCGCGGCAAGCCGGTCCTATGGCTTAGGATGTCCTCGACCGTAACCCCTTCTGTATATCCCTGGCCCGACATAACGAGGTCTTCGGGAAGAAGACTTGATACAGTCGCTTCGTACTGAACTTCAGGGTGCTTATCATTGTCGCGGACCAGGAGCCCGATTGATGCAGCCGTCATGGACTTGGAGGAAGACGCAATGTCGAAGATGGTGTCCGCCGTGCAGGGCTTCGGCGGCTCGAGGGATGCTAGCCCGTATCCTGCGGAGAAGGTGCGGTCGCCCTCAATAACCGCGATGGCGAGCCCAGGCACATGGTGCTTCTTCATGAGCTCCTCGACATGTGGGGAGAAGTCTGGAGAGTGAAGATATTCCATTGTTCGACGATTGGCTGGGCAAGTTTTCTCCGCGCTGCTGTGATGATCAAATTGGCTTGAACAGTGAACTGTTACGCTTCTGTTTCCTACGTTCCCACCGTGTCTCTTTCAAACTCGTCAAAATCTTATTCGAGAAATGTCCTATCCAGAAATCCTTAGGCAACCGACATTTCTCACTCTGAATCATTCGCGTCTTGAAGGGTGAGTCATCGGCGAGAATGCAGGTCAGATTGAATAACATGCGATTCTAAGATCATAAATGGCCAGTAAACGACGATCCACGCATTTGCCCGCCATTTTGGACACATAAGTTGCCTATAAGGCGCGTGGAAGACGAATGACTTCTTTAATATTTGAACTAGAGCCAAGGGTAGAGATGCTTAATAGATTGAGTGGACACGTCTAATGAGATGCTATCTCATCTAGGTGTTTTCCCCAGCTTAGTCCTAGGTTGACGGACAGCTCACGCGCTTCCAGTCTCATCATCCGTCATCGTAGCACAGATGTTCTCGATTATTGTTTGCTTCTGTATTATCCAGTGCCCTCAATGGCGCATACGTCAATTCGAGTCGTACTCCGCGCTACGCGGACAAGCCTTGGCTCCAGTATTTTGAAGCTTTGGCAGCAGTGTGTCGTATCTCGTATTCTACCATGATTAGAGTAGGAGTCATTATATCGATAGGAGCTTCCCCTTGCAATGCGTGAACGAAGACATCGAAGTTGAGCCAGAATGATGTGCCCTCAAGCCAGTGTAAGTCTTTATAGGGACATAGGTCCAGGTTAAGTGGGAACAGCTGAGAATGTAGAATGTCAAGAGGTAGTTATAAAAGGCGTCGATGCCGCTCGGTCACGTCAATATCAACAGATGCAAGAGAGAGTTGACGCAGATCAAATCGCCCGTCTCATACGCGAAATTGAGATCCATGCTCTAACACCATGTGCTAAGTACGTGTTTTGACTCCATAGCTATTTCAAACCAATTAAGCGCTCGCCCAGGTTACATGAAGAAGGATGGAGCACGCACCTTGGATGAATAGCACAGCTCCCCCTCAATTTGGAGGCGATGGAATTGGAGATTGGGGATCTCGGAGGTTTGCATGCCGAGCCATCGGCAACAGCAGTATCTCCAGTTCAATCCAGTGACACCGGTCTGGACTATGGAATGATTTTTTCTGTATTACTATGTATCTATCTAGGTACGATAGAACAGCTCATCCTATATGCCAGTTCTCTTTTTCGTAGACGCGATATACAAGTACATAGGACCAAGTGCTTACACACATAATGTAATGGAGCGTGTTCTATTGCTGGTGTAAACCACAGCGAGCTAGCTAAATTACTAATGTTACTCTAGCACCATCTTCCAGGGCAGAATTACAGCACCCGCCCCCAGTAAGTTATACACTAACCCACTATATCAAAATTGAGCAGCACTCACTGCCTACCTCATTCTCATACCTAGGTACCTTCAAGGTTTAAGGTTAGGTGAAGCCCTCTTAGGTGAAGCCCTCTTAGTCGAAGTACCCATGGGCACTCGAGGACATCGCGTCTGCAAAAGAATGTTTGTGATACGCAGGCGCTTACCTCTGTTCAGGTTATGATTGAAACCCAAAGTGCATCTCCCTGCCTAATTAGGTTTATTGGTTTGTTGTTGCACGGTTACCCCTCTTCGTATTCCCCCCTCGTCCAACATTGCTACTCGAGGTCGAGGTTTAAAGTAAGGTAGGTATTGCACCACGTTTACCGACCATCCAGATCTCGTATTTTCCACGCCAGGCCACTCAGAACTTAAGCGTCTATTATTTGATATTCCTCAAGTTCCTTATAAGTAGCTGATGATAGATTCATGAATACGACACAATGGCGTTCTGGCGACGTCACTTAAGTCGTGGATGGACATTCCGAGAAGCCAGCGATGATCCGTCGAACAAAGATTCTTGGCTTCCCGTACAGAATGTGCCTACTCAGGTTCATGTGGATCTTCTAGCCAATAGAAAGTATGTTGGTGGTATAAACTTCTCTCTCATTGCCTTTGCTCACGCTGCCGCAGGATACCAGACCCCTTTTTGGACCTCAACGAGTTGGAAGTTCGGTCGCTTGCCGAAAAACAGTGGATATATCGAACAAAATTCATCAAACCTGTAGAGCTGTTATCCGAGCGATCGGCAACCACGGATTTAGTTTTTGAGGGCCTCGACACGTTCGCAACTGTCTTGTTAAACGGCGTCGAGATCCTGAAGTCCGATAACATGTTCATCTCCCACCGAGTCGATGTGACTAGCCAAGTCCAGCAGGTAAACGAGCTGGAGATACATTTCGATTCGGCTATGCTCCGTGGAAGAAAACTGGTCGAGGAGCATTCACATGAGCATACCTTCTACGTAAGACAGACGGAGGTTGGCCGTGTCCCCGTGCGGAAGGCTCAATGTCAGTAATTCGCCCTATCTTCTGAAGTCCGACCAGTGACAGATCTCAACCCTTCTTTTCAGCGGAACTTGCGACCCTATGCTTATGGTAGCCTAAGGTGAACGATTAATTAACTGACAATCTATGGGCATAGACAACTGGGGGTGGGATTGGGGGCCTATTCTGATGACTGCTGGCCCTTGGAAACCCATATGCCTTGAGCGGTATGTAGCTAGAGTTGACGATGTTTGGGCCGAGTACGAAGTCAGTGAGGATCTTGCAACATGTTCGGGGCGCATCCTAGCCAAGGTCTCCAAAGCAAATGGCCGGTCGGTCATTTTATCGTTATCGTTGGCTGGGTCCCCCGTTTTTGAGAAAGAATGTGCCATCGATTCAACCGGGATCGCAGAAGCGAAGTTCGAAATTACTCACCCGGAA